GAGTGAGTGAGTGAGTGAGTGAGTGAGTGAGTGAGTGAGTGAGTGAGTGAGTGAGTGAGTGAGTGAGTGAGTGAGTGAGTGAGTGAGTGAGTGAGTGAGTGAGTGAGTGAGTGAGTGTGTGTGTGTGTGTGTGTGTGACCTCTGCTGGCGCGTGTGCGTGTGCGCGTCCTCAGGCCCGTCATCCCGGTGCTGGTGCTGTCGCTGTCTCCTCTCTGCAGACTACTCTTCAACACGGCCTTCATCTGCTCGTGTTCAGCTGTGTCCTTAGCGTGACATAAACCCTGCGGCTCTGTCTGCGGGTCGACAGCGGGAGCGGTACTGCTGCTGCCGCCACTGCTCACACACACACGACCCGCCTGCACACACACACACACACACACCGACCATCACAAACTAGACACTGATTATACAGGAACACATTTAGAGATGATCTGAGCTGCTGGTTTTTTCTAGTAATGTAGAACAGGGTTTACCAAACTGGGGTTCATGAGGTGACAGTTCATAAATCATAAAAATATATATTCATAATATGTAAAAATGTAAAAACAATCAAAATAAAAAAGTTACATTTTAAATATATACAAAAGTGTAAAATTAAAATAAATGAATATTTGAAAATAAAAACAATCAAAATAAACACTCAAATCTAAATACATCATAAAAATGTAAATGTAAAAAAAATCATAAACATGTTAATAAAAAACATGTAAAAATGTAAAAACAAAATAAAAAAGCTACAAATTTAAATATATACAAAAATGTAAAATAAAATATATTAATATTTGAAAATAAACAATCAAAATAAACACTAAAATCTAAATACATCATAAAAATGTAAAATTAAAATAAATGAATAATTTAAAAATAAAAATATCAAAATATAACACTCACTAAAATTTGAATAAATCATAAAAACAAAAATAAATAATGTTAAAACACTTCAGTAAATGTAAATAAAACAAATTTTAATAATTTAATAACTTTAAATAATTAAAAGTACTAAAGTAAAATTAAAATAATAACATTATAATAAAAACAATCAAAATAAAACAATAAAATCATAAAAATAATTAAAACATTATTTAAAAAAAATACTAACATTTAAATAAATCATAAAAATTAAAATTAAGAAATAAAGAAAAAATAAAGAAAAAAGTAAAACACTTACTAAATGTTTGTAAAATTTTTAGTATTTAATATTCAAATATTTTATTTGTTTACCTGCAATCAATGTGACCATTAAACAACATCAGAGAACCATGAATGTGAATGTGTTGTTAAATTATTGAAAAATTTTGAGGGGACTAAAACACACACATACACACCATCCAAATCATGACAAAAACACCGCTGAGCAATTCCAGTTTAGAAATGCCACACATGAGAGCACAAGTGCAGATCTGAACAGGGTTATACACTGATACACGATTAGTGACGCTGTGAGCTTTAACAAGCCATTAAAACATGAAGGGTTAATATTCGTCAGACAGAGAGCAGAACAAACGCACACCCTCATACCTCACTGTCCTCTTCATCATCCGTCTGTGGTATGAAAAAGAGAAATCAACCATCAGCAGACCGCCTACAGACTCAAGTAGTGTGTTATTGATTATTATACGAGCAGATTTATGAATGTTCATCAATCTAGTCCCGCCCACAGCCCCGAATAATCACAACTCTTGCTCCGCCCACATCACTGTATAACTCTAAATAATAACAACTCTAGCTCCACCCACATCACTGAATAACAACTCTGGTCCCGCCCACATCACCGAATAATAACATCTCTAGGTCCGTCCACATCACTGAATAATAACAACTCTAGCTCCACCCACATCACTGAATAACAACAACTCTGGTCCCGCCCACATCACTGAATAATAACATCTCTAGGTCCGTCCACATCACTGAATAATAACATCTCTAGGTCCGTCCACATCACTGAATAATAACTTTAACTCCGCCCACCTCACTAAATAATAACAACTCTAGTCCCACCCATATCACTGAATAATAACAACTGTAGAAATAATAACTGCAATAATAACTCTAGCTCCATCCTCATCACTGAATAATAACAACTTTGGTCCCGCCCACATAATTGAATAATAACTCTAACTCCGCCCACATCACTGAATAATTCAAACTCTATTGATATGAATACAACAATTCAAAAATCACCATTAAATAATTATAACTCTAGCTCCGCCCTCTCATTGAATAATTACAACTGTAGACCCACCCACATCACTGAATAATAACAACTGTAGTCCTGCCTACATCACTGAATAATAACAACTCTGGTCCCGCCCACATCACGGAATAATAACAACTCTGGTCCCGCCCACATCACTGAATAATAACTCTAACTCCGCCCACATCACTGAATAAGAATTCTAGCTCCGCCCACATCACTGAATGGTAACAACTCTAGCTCCGCCCACATCACGGAACGATAACAACTCTAGCTCTGCCCACATCACTGAATAATAACTCTAACTCTGCCCACATCACTGAATGATAATAACTCTGTCCCGCCCACATCACTGAATAATAACTCTAGCTCCGCCCACATCACTGAATGATAACAACTCTAGCTCCGCCCACATCACTGAATGATAAAAATTATAGTCCTGTTGATTCTCAGTGCGAGAATAAAATCACAGCAGTGTTATGAGATAAAATAAAGTGAACAATCAAGACTCATTAGAGAATAATTAAAACAGCCATGCCCTCACAACACAGACTACTCTCAATAAGGTCCTGTATGTGACCTCTCAAAGCACACTGAGGGGATTCAGAACATTTCATGCCCTTTTCTACGGTGGCCGTAGAAGTAACAAGTCAGAAAACACAATGACAAATTCGAAAACAAAATAACAAGTCAGAAAACACAATGACAAATCAGACAAAACAGAAAAGCTAGGTATTGTTTGCAAATTGAATACTTATCACTGATTGGACGAGACATCTGTCAATCAAGATGTACAGAAAGTAAAAAAATTGTAACCAGCTTTGTTTCGTGATTTGCTTTGCACTTCTCGGCCACCGTACTTTTCTCCTCACATCAGAATCCAAAAGATCTGCTCCTAAAGATGGCGCTGTTTCTCCATGCGACGACTCGTGATTGTTATTTCAGTCTTTAAACAGCTGTAAACTCACTCAAGTGAAGTTAGGTTAAGCAATATCTCATTTGGGATTTCAGCACACAGCGTCTCCACCATTAAAAAGCACTGAGAAACTGTCAAACTGTGAAGATGTGAATGGAGCGGTGAGTGAACGACGAGCAGAAGAGGCCAGAATAAACACTGCACATGTTCAAATATATAATCACGGCATACTGGACGAATCCTTGAGCGATTCTTCAGGCCTGCAGGGAACATTAAAGCTAACTGGCATTAAAAGTGTGAAAACACATTTGAGCTGTTACGCAGCGATCATGTTCCTCTTTACACTGTAACAAATCAGGATCGCTGCTTGTGCATTTAACACACTAAAGAAAACACGTCTCTGATCTGAAAAGTGAAAGGGTGGGTTAGTTTAGGATAGGGTTTTGCCATCATAAAAATGTATAAATTAAAAGAAATTATTTTAAAATAAAAACATCAAAAAGAACATTTATTAAACATGAATTAAAATCATAAAAATGAAGATGTATTTACTGTAATGAATGTAAATTCATACAAAAATCATACAAATAAATCATTTTAAAATCACTCAAAATTTTAATCATACAAGTGTAAAAAAAAACTTTGAAAAACAAACAAAATAAAATACTAAAAAAATATTAAAATCATAGAAAATGTAAAACAAAAATGAATCATTTTAAAATAAAAACAATAAAAATAAAACAAAAATCTATTAAAATCATACAAATGAAAAATAAAACATTTTAAAATAAACAATTAAAATAGAATAATAAAAATTTATTAAAATTATAATAATGTAAAATAAATAAAAGAAATCATTACAAATCAAGCAAAAATAAAATACAAAAAAAATCAAAATCATAAAAATGTAAAATAAAAATAAATCATAAAAAAAATCCAAATAGAACACTTACTAAAAATTCATAAAAATAAATAAAATAAACCATTATAAATCAATCAAAAATAAAATACAAAAAAAAATAAAAATCATAAAAATGTAAAAATTAAAATAAATATTTTAAAAATAAAAACAATCAAAATAAAATATTAAGCGTTAATTATTAAACCCATAAAAATGTCAAATAAAAAAATGTAAAAACAATCAAAATAAAACACTTACTAAAATGAATAAAAATTAAAATGTAGAATAAAACTAAATCATAGTAAAAATCAAAGAATCCTAATAAAACCCACAGTGTATTTGTGTGCAGGTGTGTGTATCTCACCTGTGTGCTGAGGTCTGTGATCATCTTCCCTCGCGTCTTGTTCCTCTCTCTGTGATCGGCGCGCTTCTGTCTCTGCTGCAGGACGCGCTCGCGAGTGGTGCGGTACTCCAGAGCGAACTCACTGAGGAGCTTACTGAACCGAGTCACGCTGATCTCACGGACGCTGTACGCCGGCTGACGCAGGAACAGCAGAAACCAGTGAAACCTGCCACACAAACACGATTAAAACCCACTCCCACTGAGTCTGTACTCGTGTGATTTAACACACGGATCAAATGTAACAGAGCTCCCACTGTTACACTTACAAACATCTGACTCTTCACCTGTTCATGATCCTGCGGTGGACAGTTTTGAGGATGATGATTCTCTCGGCGCAGTCCTTCAGGAAGTCCGACATCTTCTGCTTCAGCGCCGGCTTCATCTCGTGCTTTGCGATGACTTTCAGGTGGTCCCATGATGCTTTGCAGCGCCACTCCATCTGAGTCAGAGTCTCCTGCAGCTGGTCGAAGTCCACCTGCGGACCAGCGTTACTTCAGCTGCATTCATGTACTGTTATACTTTATTATTACAGTTAGTAATATTTTGATTTAGCTCTTTATAGATATATATTTTTTTATTATTATAATTTTTTTTAATTCAAGTTTTAGTACATGTTTTTGTCTTTTTTTTTTTCTAGGTCTATATAGTTTTTAGTCATTTTTATTTTATTTAATAATTTTTCATTCCTTTTTTGCAAGTTCTTCTCATGTGTGTTAGATTTTTTTAGATTGTAACATTCCAAAATAGCAGAAATGTAACATTCTAAGGCAAAATGTAACATTCGATGGCGAATATATGTTTATACAGTTTTATTATTATTATTATTTTTTTTCATTTTATTAATTTGTATTTAATTTAATATATTTTATTTCACATTTGCAAGTGTTTTCCTCATTTGTATTTGTGTTTTAATCTTTTTTATTGTTTATTTTAATAGTCTATTCCATTTTTATTCCTTGTTTGTGTTTTTCACCATTTTTATTTGTTTTTTAAAAAATATCTATATAGTTTTTAGTAATTTTATTTTATTTAATAATTTTTCATTCCTTTTTTGCAAGTTCTTCTCATTTGTGTTAGATTTGTTTAGATTGTAACATTCCAAAATAGCAGAAATGTAACATTCAATGGCGAATATATGTTTATACAGTTTTATTATTACTTTTTATTTTAATTTTATTAATTTGTATTTAATTTAATATATTTTATTCCACATTTGCAAGTTTTTTCCTCATTTGTATTCATTTTAAAAAAAATTTTATTGTTTATTTTAATAGTCTATTTCATTTTTATTCCTCGTTTGTGTTTTTCTCAATTTTTTTTTAAATGTCTATATAGTTTAGTAATTTTTATTTTATTTAATAATTTTTCATTCCTTTTTTGCAAGTTCTTCTCATTTGTGTTAGATTTGTTTAGATTGTAACATTCCAAAATAGCAGAAATGTAACATTCAATGGCAAATATATGTTTATACAGTTTTATTATTGCTTTTTATTTCCATTTTATTAATTTGTATTTAATTTAATATATTTTTATTCCACATTTGCAAGTTTTTTCCTCATTTGTATTCGTTTTTTAAATCTTTTTTTTTCATTTTTATTCCTCGTTTGTGAGCTTTTCACAATTTTTAGAATTTTTTAAAAAATATGTCTAAATAGTTTTTATTAATTTCCATTTTTATTTGATAACTTTTTATTTTATTTAATACATTTTTATTCTTAATTCATAAGTCGCTTTGGATAAAAGCATCTGCTAAATCAACAAATGTAAATGTATTTGATGAACCTCAAATAAAGCTAGTTTAAGTTTTCGTATATATTATTTTATTTCAGTTAACGTTTATTTTATTTCAAATAACAATTTTTTTTAATGGTTGCAGTTTTAGTTAGCGCTAATAACCCTGCACTTCACAGCTGTCTCTCTAAACACGTTCATGCACAACAGCATCAGAACACGGAGCATCGGAACACGCGTGTGCGGTGCGTGTGTTACCTTCGCGGAGCGCGTGACGGCGCCGATCTCAGAGTACAGGTCTGTGCCGTCGGGGAAGTTCTCCACCACAATACTGCAGACGTGATGCAGGAGAGACTGCTTATGAACCGTGTCCTTCACTTCAGGAACCTTCTCCAGATACGTCAGATCGAAGCCTTTGGCCTGCGCAAACAATCACTGTCTATAAAGTACAGACTGAGTAAATCAATAACACATTTCAGTGCTGAAATCTCACGTTGGAGCCGTTCAGGAGGTTTCCAATCGCCAGCAGAGTCGATAAGATGAAGCGCAGCGTTTTGTTCTTCTCCAGCTGATCCATGCCCTCCTTCAGGTCCTGTAGCGGCTCGGCCACTTCCTGTCAAACCGGAAACACTGCACGATTAACGCCGTCATTTAGAGCCTCTATTAGTTTTATTAAAAGTTTGAATCAGTTTTTATATTTAGATTTTCTGTTAGTTTTGTCATTTTTACTAGATTGTGTTTTTTTTTTGTAATATGTCTATGTGGTTTTTATTTTATTTAAATTTTTTCAGTTTTAGTTATAATTATATAGTATATCAAGTTAAACTAAATGGAATTGAGAATTTTTAAATTTTATTTCATATAAAGTTTATTTCAAGTAATGAAGGTTTCTATCCTTTTTTTAATTTTAGTTACATTTTTAGTCATCTTGTTGTGTGTTTTTGTCATTTTTATTATTTTTGTCTATATAGTTTTTATTAACATTATTTTAGTTTTAGTTATTTGTAGTACATCAAAAATGAGAAATGCTTCCTTGGCAACTAGTTGAAATTAAATAAGATTGTTTAAATAATTTTTAAAATATTTCATTTCAGATAAAGTTTATTTAAAGTTTTTGTGCTTTTCAGTTAAAGTTTAGTAATTTTGTTGTGTGTTTTTGTCATTTTTATTATTTATGTTTTTTAATGTCTATACAGCTTTTATTAATTTTTATTTAAGCTTCAGTTTTAGTTATTTTAGCACATCAGGTTCAAATGCATTAAAATGAGAAATGGTGCCTTGGGTGAAAAATGTTAAAATTTTTATTTATTGAAATTAAAAAAAAAAAAAAAAATTTTTTTAATTTCAGTTCACTTTTATTTTAAATAAATATATATATTTTTTTTTAAATGATTTTAGTTTTAGTTAACTACAATAACCTGATGATTAATTAACTTATTAAATGCCTGGCGTTTTTTTGACGGAGCTTGAAAGATGAAGCAGCATCTTCAGCAGATGAATTACAGCAAGTACAGATCTGTGAAAAACCACATTCCCTGTGTCTTCAGGATCTTAGATGGAGGAGAAAACAAATGTGTTTCTGGTTATTGAGTCTTTTGGTTGTAGCACACGATGTTCCCCTCCATCAGGACAACTGAAAACATCTCCTGCGTCAGAGGAAAGATAAAACACGACAACCAGAGGAATGATGGAAACTTCACTGAGAGAGAGAGAGATGGGAATGTTCTGTGTTTAAAGGCCTCTGACCGTCTTCAGGAACGGTTTCACCTCTGCAGGTAAAGAGAGCGTGTAAACGTCACGTCAGCGGAGACTTATATTAGTACTAATGTAAGTGTAACACTGTAGGACTTTCAAAACATTGATCTGTGTGTTTGATCATGCCGTGCTCTTCATACGTCTTATATGTGTAATCAGTGTAATTTATTACACTACTATAGTTTCTATTCATATTTTGAATTTTATTTTTTTTATATTTTGTTTTAATGTAAAATTTAATGTAAAAGTTTTAGTCATTTTGTAGCATGCTTTTGTAATTTTTTAGCATTATTTTTAAATAAGTTTTTATTAATTTTTATTTCAGTTTTAGTTGTTTTAGTAAATCAAGTTAAACTAATTGAGAAATGTTTCCTTGCCAACTAGCTAAAATAAAATTTAAACATTTATTTCAAAGTGAAATTTAAAAAAAAATATTTTATTCAAGTTAAAATTTATTTTATTTTAAGTAACAAAAATATATTTTTATGGTTTTAGTTTTAGTTAACTATAATAACCCTGCATTTAACTTTAATTAATTAATTTGTCAATTTTGAAATATATTGAAAAACACAGTTGTGTGTACTGACGGATACTATGCTGTTAAAAAGGGTTATTAATGATGCATTAAATTGATTAAAAGTGCCAGTAAACTCATTTATAATGTTACAAAAGATTTCTATTTCAAATAAATCTTGCTCTTTTGAACTTTCTATTCATCTGTGAATCCTGAAAAATAAAATGCATCACAGTTTCCACAAAATATTGTGCAGCACAACTGTTTTCAACATTGATAATAATCAGAAATGTTTCTTGAGCAGCAAATCAGCATATTAGAATGATTTCTGAAGATCATGTGACACTGAAGACTGGAGTAATGATGCTGAAAATACAGCTGCGCATCACAGAAATAAATTACAGTTTAACAGAGATTCACTTAGAAAACAGTTATTTAACATTTCACTGTTTTTACTGTATTTTTGATCAAATAAATGCAGCTCTGGTGAGCGTTAGAGACTCAAGCGCTCACTCACCTTCTCGGTGGCTTCATAGTCAAGTTTGAAGGCCCAGAGTTGCAGGCGCGCTGAGAGCTCGCTGATGGAGGACAGTGTCAGCAGGAACTGCTCTGCGCTGCCCAGCGGAATGTCAGGATTCGCCAGCTGAGCCTCCTGGATCTTCTGCGTCTCTTCCTCTGTGGGAATCATCATCAGGATTTTCTACAGCAGAGAGAGAAACGTTGTAATATTCCAAAATGGCAAAAATGTGACATTCTAAAGCAAAATTTAACATTCTAAAATGGCAAAAATGTGACATTCTAAGGTAACATTTAACATTCTATAGCAAAATGTATCATTCTAATATGGGAAAAATTTTACATTCTAAGGCTAAATGTAACATTCTAAAACGGGGAAAATGTAACATTCTAAGGCTAAATGTAACATTCTAAAACGGGGAAAATGTAACATTCTAAGGCTAAATGTAACATTCTATGGGAAAATCTAGCATTCTACTGCAAAATGTAACATTCTATGGCAAAATGTAACATTCTAAAATTGGTAAATGTAACATTCTAAAATTGGTAAATGAAACATTCTAAAATGGCAAAAATGTAACATTCTAAAACGGGAAAATGTAACATTCTAAAGCAAAATTTAACATTCTAAAATGGCAAAAATGTGACATTCTAAGGCTAAATGTAACATTCTAAAATGGGGAAAATGTAACATTCTAAGGCTAAATGTAACATTCTAAAATGGGGAAAATGTAACATTCTAAGGCTAAATGTAACATTCTAAAATGGCAAAAATGTGACATTCTAAGGCTAAATGTAACATTCTAAAATGGCAAAAATGTGACATTCTAAGGCTAAATGTAACATTCTAAAATGGCAAAAATGTGACATTCTAAGGCTAAATGTAACATTCTAAAATGGCAAAAATGTGACATTCTAAGGTAACATTTAACATTCTATAGCAAAATGTATCATTCTAATATGGGAAAAATTTTACATTCTAAGGCTAAATGTAACATTCTAAAATGGCAAAAATGT